CTCGGTGTCAAGAAAACGCACAACGTTGTCCATTCAGCGTGCCATTGAAACACCTGATGAAGGAACTTCTCGACGGCGAGAGCATTCCCAGCTTATGGCTAATCAGCGTGCGTTAGAGACACCTGAAGTAGCAGCTACTTGGCATCAAGAAAACGCATAGCGTATGTCCACTCAGCGTGCCATTGAAACACCTGATGAAGAAACTTCTCGACGGCTAAATCAATCCCAGCTAATGTCTAATCCGCGTGCTTCCAAGATAGTAGATGAGACAAATTCTAGACGACTCGCAGTCGCTCAGCATCAAGCAGAGTGTCGGCAAACATTTACCAGAAATGCTTGGGGGTTATTTGAACAATGTGGTTTTGAATATGACTTGACATTGGATTACAATAGCCACAGGCTCATAAAAATTTGCCGTATGGAAAATGTGTGTCACCATTGTGGGGCATTAAAATGGAATGAGGAAAGAGCGGGAATGTGTAGCTCTGGGGGCAAAGTAGCCATTCCTGTTTTAGAAGAGCCTGTGGAACCCTTAAATACATTATTTACAGGTGAAATTGATGAATCTTGACGGTTCTAAAACTGCGTACAACCCATGCTTTTACATGTCGTCGTTCGGGGCGGACATTTGGACAATGGCGAACTCCCATACAATTTTTTGTTGAAATTTTTTCTTGCGTCTATAACTGAATTGCATGTTAAATTATAGAGTTTACATTCTTGATTTGATTCATCTTATTTCTTATATTATAGGAAGTCCGGATTTATAGATATTCTACTTTGAAGTTTTGGAGGTTATGTCCTACCAAGGAATGCAAAAACGAATTATAAAAGTTTGTTTCAAGAGTATTTTTATATCAAAATAAAAAATACGTGGAACGGAACTATAGAAGTACACCGGTCCTGAAGATTAGTGACGAAAAAAAATGTTTTTTAAAATGTATGATCAGTTGGCTTTCTTTCTTTCTTTCTTTGGCGTAGGTACTGACCAACCGCGTCAAAATACTTATTATCAGACAAGAGTTATTGAGTTCAAATACAATGTCTGTGCTGTAAGAAGTACTTAACAATTTGAAAATGCCCACTGCAATAATAAAGTATAAAAAAGGATTTCTAATAATGTACTAATGGGATATTAATTAAATATGCAACACTTTTTATATATTTTTTATTCCACATCTTTGATCACAATATCGTAGATAGTAGATACAATGAAAAAAAATCCACAGCAAAATATCAGATTCGAAAGTCTTAGGCAAGCACTACTCAACAGTCGCAGAGAAAGATTTCGAAAGTCCAAATACAGTCCAAGTCACATAAAAAAACAAATCTCAGAAAAACACAATACGCCGATTAAATTCTTTGCAATATGCATGCACCTAAGCATAAACAATGTTATATAATGATAACAATAACAACAACCATTCGATGACAAGCATGACAGTGACAATTATAGTTTTTTTTCGTTAGAATTGTCGCCATACTCTTTTTGTATTGTGGAGATTATTTAATATGGTTTCAGTATAATATTGAAAAATAATGTTTCCCCGATATTTTTGTTATATAATTAAATACAGTTCAAGCGTAAAGCGATGCAAAACATACGAACAACATAATATTTAAAGTTGATTTCATCACAAAAATCACTTAAAATGAATGGCTCAAAAGCCATCATGGCCAAGCCACAATAAAAATAAAAAATAAATAGTCAATTGTGTTTCCCTTTTTTTTGGTTTTTAATTCCAGACTTAGACAACCCTCCTCAATTGTTTAATAAATCTTTTGAAATTATTTTATTAACATTTCTGATAATGACATCTATAGACGCTATAGATTTACTTCAACAAATATTTCGCCATTGTCCTTTTTGCAATGCCTGGATTTTCCCCAACGTTCACAGTGCATGGCTAACTACATCACAAAATGGGTGATGATCACCTAATGAACAGCCACAATTTTTACAGGTGTATTTTATGGGAGACGACGACGCGGAAATTGACAAACGGTGTCTAATCATTCAAGGTATGGAGCGAGCAACTGTGCCAGGAAGACGAGTTTGCTCGCACGTGGAATGCGTCAAGAAAACAATGGAACGTTGCGTGCAGGGCGCACCCGTCGACGGTTGGCTTGGTGTGAAAGCCTTAGATGCCTGATGATGATGGTAGAATTTATACCGTACACATAACACACTTTGAGTGCTATTGTGTACGGTTGCTGTTGCTATTACTAGAATCCGGGGTCCTACCACTTTTCAAGCGCTCAAAATCGTCGATGGGCAGGAAAAGACCACTTTTCAAGAAGCATGTGAGGCGATGAAGCTGCTTGAAGACGACGGCCACTGGGACGCAACGATGGAGTGCGCAATGTTGTGCCGGTCAGCGACTACGTTGAGAGAGCTCTTTACGATTATGATAAGCACCTGCGGACTCGCCAACCCCCGGCAATTGTGGTGCAAGTATAAAAAGCGCTTTGTCAGAGGACATTGCTCGCCGGTACCAAGGGATCATCATCATCATCAGCCTATTAATGTCCCCACTGCTGGGGCACAGGCATTCCCTATGGATGGAATGGGGAGATTGGGCCATGACCCACCGCGCGAGCCCAGTGCGGATTGATGGGTGCTAACAACTGCAGATGCAGCCGGGACCAACGGCTTAACGTGCCTTCCGAAGCACGGAGGAACACGAGTTAGAATTTTTTGGTCACCCATCCAATGACCGACCACTGAGAAAGTTGCTTAACTTCGACGATCGCAGCTGAACGCGCTAACCACTTGCGCCATCGAGCTCCTCGACAAGGGATAACACTAGACATAATTTTTAAAGAAGCGCTGAAAGTCTTATTTCTTGGACGCACCAGGGGGCACCGGCAAGACTTTTTTAATGAACTTGCTGCTGGCACAGTTGTGCAAAGACAAAGTGGTTGCGCTGGCTGTTGCATCCTCCAGATTAGCCGCAACCTGGCTGAGTGGTGGCAGAACCGGACACTCAGTATTCAAGCTCCCGCTGAAACTTGCAAGTGAAGAAACGCCCATTTGCAACATCAGTAAAAGTAGTAGTCGTGGTGCTCTATTGCAATGGTGCAAATTGATCGTATGGGACCACATGCTCCCGTGTGTCGAGAGCAAGAAACACATTTTATTTACGCAGAAAACAATAAGTCCCGCATTGTGGTTTACTGGGATGTGCTGCAGTAAAGTGATTTCTAGGTCTCGCTCTACGACCCGAGACAAAAAACAATTACATAAGACAGCATAATCATCTCTCCCGTTCTGTCAGTTATCAAATTTTGTAAATTGATCTTTCCGATGTTTAAGTTTAAATTATTTTGCTTCTAAAAATGTGAATAGTCATTGTTTTTACTGTTAATACACAATTTATTTTCCCTAATAAGCCGCGGGTAACACCGCGGGTAACACCGCGGGGCACAGCTAGTTGAAATATATAGGGTTTAAAACTAGATTCCGGAACGTGTAGACAATTTATTTGGAAATTATTTAAACCCTATATATTTCAATTGAACTAAACCATACCGTGATTACAAATTAATACAGCTCCATCTATGGGACAAATGGAGTAACCATTTAATATAAGGTACCACATTGGACAATATGCTCTAAGTGCACTTCAACTGCAACAGAAGTGAAACGTAAATTCAACTCTCTAAATTGTTTCGAAAACTGAATAATAGCTTATTAAAAGAAAATAAATAAAATGAATATCATTTATATAAATTCTCGCGTTTGGGTTAAGTTCGGAGAACATAAGCGATAATTGTACTTAATCAAAGTCAAATCAAAGTTTCAAAAGCTAAGCATGTTCAAACCTCATTCTACTAACATTTTAATTAAAACAATTGACAAAGATAGAACGATGTATTTAGCAGGATTAAGTCTTAATTTAAATAATGTTGGCGCAAAGGGTCCATAATAATAAGAAAAAAAAATGGGTGCGTGTACTTATGTAGGCGCGTGAGAAGTTATCCTTCTTTGGTATCGTTTAAAATTAGTTTTTAATTGCATGCAAATAATTAATTACAATAAATTAATAAAAAGTCTGGAAAAGGACACAGTCAATACAGTTCAGTTTTAATTTGAAAAAAAAAATGGTTGCCTGTAAAGTCGGTTTTACGGGCGAAGATTTTACGTGACAACGTCTTTTTCTCGGTAGAATATTTATTGATATGAATATAATTAAATTGCACAATAGGAACAAGGAATTGAATGAAAATAAGAATTGCACAAATTTTAACTATAGAAATATATTTTGTTTACTAAAACATTGTACATGTAAACTTAAACTTAACACGAGAGACTCATCGTAACGTTACCGAGCGTTACACTTTTTCATAAGTGACTCCCAGCCGCAACCTAATTTAAGACGTTGTCACGTCAATAAATAAATAATCAAAATTTTCAATTAAAATCGCTACTGAATATAATTTATTAGAACATTGTGATTTGCACTTGTATGAAACTCACGTATTCCGAATATACAAACTAGAAACATGTGGATAAATATTTTAAATATGAATACCTATAACTGTTACTTTATTACAAAAAATAAAGATGTGGTTTTTGGTTCTACTACACCAATGGTCAAGAGATGGCGCTGTAGTCTCCTGAATCGCGCTTTGGTTCCGTTGTTCCAGATTAATAAATACTTTTGATAGGCCTTCACAATGCAGTCGTTAGCACTTTAGCACCCACAAAATGGAGATTCTATTTCTATTTTGTTGGTAGATTTTCTTAATGTGCGGTAAACACAAAAGTAACAGCATGAAGTTGGTCGCTTTAGCGACCTTAGCTGACCTTAGCGACTTAATTTTTTGTGTTACGGTGATGCGCGCGCATCTTAAAATTTCACTCTCATCATTTTTTCATAACGCGCCTAAAGAAGTATAACTTCAAAAAAATAAGGACTATAGTGGCTTAGTATTTGCATAATGTTAGTGAAGCTTATGAAATAAACAATGTCTAATACAGTCGTCTCTTTCCTCAGGTGAGCATCCAGCTGCGATGCAACATGGAGGTCAGCTCCGTCTTCAGTATCCGCTGTCAGCTGCTCTACTCAGCGTCATTGTAGCCCTTATGGGCTGCTAGTATAGAGTTGAAACTTAATCGGACTTACCTGTTTATATTATAATGATAAAATTTATACTATTTGTTTCTTAGGTTTTCACGAACACCACTCATTAAATTAAACAAGTTTCAACGGTATAGATGCACTGATTTATTTATTTATTGACGTTTCTGTTTTTTTTTATTTTTTTTTTAAATTTGTCATGAAAACTTATTTCTATTCTGCCAAACTGTGCAACAGTTTGTCGGTAGTATTAGTAATAATGATTTTATTTACTCTGTCGAGCTGGGAAAGTTGTACCATCTATCCCTTTTTTTAAATGTAGTTAGCTATCTTCGAAAGACTTTTATTATAATTATATTTCATTCGAAGATTTTAAAACTTGAGAGAAAGAGATAGAAAGCCTCTCTGAGTTTGCGTTTGAGCCTCATTTTCGCCAGTTCTTTTAAGAAGGGTCTCCTAATTTTGGAACTGGTGATAGTTTACGGTAGTTAGGGTCAAATAAATAAACTCAAATTTATAAAAAAGAATTAAATAAAGAACTTTATTAATTAAATTAGCAAATAATTTCATACAGAGACAATAAAGTTTTAAAATCTTAAAATGAAATATCCGAACGCTCAGTAAAAATCTTTCGAAGGTAGCTCGACGAAGTAAATAAAATCATTGTTCAGACGACGTATCCTGTAAAGGACGTCAATAAATAAATAAATCAGTGCATCTATACCGTTAAAACTTTTTATTTTATTTAAATTGATACTAATTAAGGCCGAAAGTCCACCGCAGCCGTCACCGAGACGTCAACAAGAACAAGACGACGGCGCCGAAGTGAAGACACATACATTTACTATAGCCGCTTGTTCTCCGCAAGCCCGTTATGTCATCTCGACCTCATACAGAAATAATTTTGTTCTCGGTGACGGCCGCGGTGAACAAAAGGCCTAACTCTTCTTGCATGACGATACTTAGTACGGTATGGCTGAAATCTATTTATATAAAACTCAAAGGTGACTGACTGACATAGTGATCTATCAACGCACAGCCCAAACCACTGGACGGATCGGGCTGAAGAAAGGATTTTGATCAATTCTATCCCCAAGGGGATAAAATAGCGAATGAAAGTTTGTATGAAACTTTGTCAATTTTAAACCGATTGGTCTGAGATTTTGCATGCTACCTGCATGCACCAAGAAGAATCATAGATGAATATCATTGTGTATAATACAAACCTGAGAACAAAAACTGTAGTGTACACTTCAGCTCTACACCGAAGCGAAGCGAGGCCGCTAGTGATGATATAAATTTAAAGTTAGACGTTTTTAGTTAGGTGTTTGTTATTTGTTATAATGAAGTCACGTCGGGCAAGTCGGATAGTTCGGTAGGATTCGATACAGAGGTGTGCATGCGCTCGGTATAGAACCTGAACAGAAACCACTCAGAGGGGAAGGTCTCGCTTGATTGCATGCACTCCACCAGAGAACCACTTCTTGAAGGGTTTGGTTTCGATGCGGTGTCATTTAGTTTTGTTCGCTACGATACTTCGGTAGGATTCGGTGCAGAAACGAAAGCGAAGCGATACTGCTCTGTACCCTTAGTACGAGTTTTACCATTACGAAAACTATGATAGTTTTCGTGAGCTCGCGCTCTTACCAAGGGTACTCATTTTATTGTTTTCGTTTCAATAAAAATAAACAGTGTTTAAAAATATTATCATTAAATCATTTGTGTCTTCTTAAATTTTAAGTATATTTGGTTTATATATGTATTAAAACTATGATAGTTTTCGTGAGCTCGAACTCGTACTCAGGGTACTGATCCGATGAGTAAGGCGCCTCACTTGAAACCCAAAATTTTGATCCTATTCAAATTCAAGTGAATGTTTGAAACTTGGAACTGGAAATTATTGAAGTTTCAAACATTCATGTTCTAGGCTGATTAAGTATCAATCAATCTAAAATAGTCACAAATAAATGTCGCCGTGAAATATCTCATGCCAGCACTTGGCATGGCTGTTCGTGTTTGCTTGACAGCAGTCTCACCTTTTCTTCCCCTTTAGAATGTGAAGATAAAGAATATGATGAAGTGATAAAGAAACATGCTGTCAAAATGACATATAGAAAATACGAATGAAGGTGAACGCAGACTTGGCCGCACCGCAGTCTCCGCAGTCATCGCTTTGTGTTAATGCCCTCGCACATCTATCCGCACCGCAGTCACTGCAGTTGTTCCCGTCGCCGCACGCATCGCACTTGATTTCATTCATTCAGTTGATGCGAATGACGTTTTTTTTTTATATTAAGGTAGGCAAATGACTCTACCCCACCTGATCTTAAGTGGTAATAAAGTCCAAACGCGAAGATAGCTGGTACAGCAGTTATAAACTGTTACACCAATCATCCTCACCTTGCCGGCCTGCAAAAATGCTTCTTCACGCCTCTCTTAAAGGACCCCAGATTATAGGAAGGAGGGAACACTTGCGCGGGTAAAGAATTCCACTTACGAATAGTATGACAAAAAATTGAGTCACCAAATTTCTTTGTTCGTGTAGGAATAGTGGCCACAGTAAGTCGGTGGCAACGTAGGCCAGCGCGCGTGGTCCTCTGAAGAAAAGGTGATGGAGGGATAAGAGAGAATAACTCCTCAGAACACTCGCCGTAGTATAGACGATAAAATGCGCTTAATGATGCCACATCGCGGCGTAATTGTAGAGACTCGAGTTCGTACGTCATCCGCGCCGCGCTAGCCGCAGCGTCCGCTGCGTGCGGGCCGGCGTTGGTGACGTCATCAGCTGCGGCTTGGGGAGTATGGTCGTTTCAGGGACTGCGGCGACTGCGACGCGGGCGGGTGTGCGAGGTTGCATAGAACTTCATATAAAGAATTCGAATGCGAAGACTGCGGCGCATGCGGGTGCGGCCAAGTCTGCGTTCACCTTAACCATGTGCATCACTGACATTAACGAATCACAATATGGATGGAAAACAGCCGTACCGTACGGGACAACCGGGAGACCCGCCCAGCTGGAAGAGATGAACCATTTTCCATTTTTTTTTAAATGTAGTGCAAACATAACCTGTATTCGTTCATTGTTCACATTCGAGATGCCAATCACAACAAAACAGTTTCGCATGTGACCAACGAACGAATTGACGTTTTGTTTGCGCTAAATTTAAATACAATTTTTATCTCCCGATTTTGCCCTAAGTATTATGATGCAAGAAGGCATTCATAGTGTCGACTCTACGTCAATGATATAAAATCAAAGATTTTGTAAGCCTTTGTTCGATATTATTTGAGGTTATTGATCAACTCAGGTTAGATGGAGAATTATTGACCAGTGTTTGAACATTGAGCCGCTGCTTATCAAATTTCGAGTCCTGATTGAATATTGCCCCAATCTCCCTATTCCATCCATAGGAAAGCCCTGTGCCCCAGCAGTGGGGAGATTAATAGGCTAATGATGATGATGATGATGATGAATAGTCAGAGCAATAATAACTGTGGTTATGTCTATATGACTCGTACTGTATCATCTATTTTTCTTTCCACGCAAGCCACTCCAAAGAAGTGTCCAAAAAAAATTAAAAGACATGCAAAATAGAGAAGATAACTTATTTTTTTATCGTCTTCTATCAGGTAGATTACAAAAAAATATTGGGCACGTATTTTATCTTTACTCACATAATCAAAACATTACAGAGATATATTGATTTGAATTTGTACATGACGTTACGCCTTGGTACAATTTTTACTCAGCAGTGACGTCACGGACAAGCTCCCTCACTCCCAAACTTTTACGCGCTTCATCATTGAATTTTTTGGGTTGATTGACAAAAGAAAAATTAAGTGTCCGTTATTTTTTGATGATATTATTATGTATACCTGACGGACTTACTTAGATTTCGATTACTTTTCTCTGTCATCTTCATCAACTCTATCATAATTTGTAACTTTTTGAGGCTAAAATAATAAAAGACGATTTTAAAAATTACTTTGCAATATTCCACCTTGACTGAGTTGATTACAGCATTATGAAATGAAAATTCATTATGAAAAGAATTATGAAATCAAAATGTCTTGAAAAGACAAAAAAAATACGATTGATGTTGTATAAACTAATTCATTATTGTAAAGCAAAACCTAGTTGTTTATCTCTTTATAATTAAGAAAATTGTATTATATGATGTTAAAGGAGGTATGAATTTAATATAAGATAAGTAGATTTTCTTTCAAATAGTTATTATGCTGTAATTCACAAAAGAAGTAACTTTATCTGAAATTTTAATTAATCTTAAGTTTCAGTTTAGTCACCATTGAATATTCTGTAAAACTAGTGGACGCTCGTGACTTCGTCTGCGTGAAAAAATTTGGTTTCTCTTACAAACTACCAACCCCTTTTCTCCTTCTGAAAAGACATTTTTGGGGTAAAAACTAACCTTTGTCCTTGGACTCAAACTATCTTTGTAGCAAATTTTAACTAAATCGGTGCATCCATTTAATCGTGAAGAGGTAACAGACAGACAGACGCACTTTCGCATTTATAATATTAGTATGGATAGAGAAATATCATAATTATTTCAACGTTACCCACATTACATAAGTCGGTGAATTTATTTATAAACACCGAAAATAACTTCTCATCATCGCTGCAAACGGGCTTTAAAATCATCATATTTTATTTATTTATTTTTTAACATAATACGAGTAAATACGACCTCCGTATCAGAGTGGTTTGTACGCATGGTTTCATGGTGTCGCCTACTCGAGGGTCCCGGGTTCGAATCCCGGTGAGGCCATATGTTAGTGTTATGAATACGATTCGTACTCTAGTCATGGATATTTAATATGTATTTCTATATAAATATACATATATATGTACTACGGTATACGTAGTCTATCCGTTACCCTAGCATCCCATAGCACAAGCCTTTATAGTGCTTACTTTGGGGCTAGGCTAATTGGTGTATGTTTAAAAAAAATTAGTTGTTGGTAAATTGTTAAGCCCTATCATTAAAGAATCCAAAAACGGAATTAGCGAACATTTTCCGTCGAAGCCGCATCAGCAAATAATTCCCTAAGCTCATTTTTGAAATTACAAACGGAAAAAAAGTTGGCGGGTTCCGGAGTGCTTTTAATGGTTTTCGTATAAGAGAACTTTGTTAAAGGGTTTGTTT